TGTCAACTACATGGTAAAAAATACTGTCAACTACATGGTAAAAATATACTGTCAACTACATGGTAAAAAATACTGTCAACTACATGGTAAAAATATACTGTCAACTACATGGTAAAAATATACTGTAACCGACTGTTTCCTAACTGCTTGTTTTAGAATTTAACAGGTGAACAGGTTCACTCCACAAAGTAAAATGACATCATTTTCACAATGTTTTTAAGTTTTAAAAAAATATCTATTCAGGAAGCATTACTTTGCTATGAAGTTTAGATATTTAGATAGACATTTCTAAATCCTAGAAAAAAAGTCCTGTAGTTTCGCCTCAAATATGAGACCGATTATCAGGCAAGTGCTGACCTTTGTTTTGGGTGGAATTTAACGGTATTTCAAAGGTGTTGTATTACATACACAGATTTTGTTTTGACATACAACAATATCTAGATATGGTGAGAATGCAAAAAGCCAATGACTAAGTAAAGCAAATTCCACAAAAAATAAAATACAACTTCACTCCAAGCTGCTACTCTGCTCACTGAGTATATCCTCTGCAAAGCCACAGGTAAGATGCACACCGGCCTCAACCCACTGTGTAAATTAATGCCTCCCGTGTTGTTATTTGGTTATCCACTGTTGTTACATTTTTCTATGTAGTTTCCCACTACGGTCATATTTGTTGTTAAGTAAGAAAATATGAAGAGAATATGAAGGATTCTATCGCAGTGCATAGTCATAGCTTCAGGACACAAAACCCCACACTAAGAGAGGCATGTTGCCAGTTTGCCCCTGGACTGACCTTTAGGACGTAACGCAGCCCAGGCGGCCAGTAGATGCATGTCGCCCCACCCTGAGCCCTGTGTGTAGGTGTGTGGGGGCAGGGGGGTGGGCTGCGGCCATAAAGCAGGTGACGGGTGCAGCGGGGCGTGTGCAGACGTCGGAAGCCCGGGGCAAGGAGCAGCCACCTGTAGTTTGCTTGCAAGCAAAGGCCGGGCCCGAGCGCCACATATTTTACTGCCTTCTAAACCCCATATATTTATTTATTTAGGTATGGCCTAACCTGTTATTCAAGAAATAAGAAGTGTGTTTTGGGAGGCGGGGGGATGGGACTCTAGAGGCACAGGAAGAGTGACTGCTGCTCTCACGAAAGGCAACACTGACGTCACAAACAGATACACAACACCTTAGCTGCTGGGGCGTGGCTTTTGTGTCCAAGCAGCCTCCTGTATGGCCCAAAGACACACCTGCTGGCAGTGGAGGCTTGGGATTGGCTACAATACGGAAATTACACCTGGGTGGGAGGGGCGCTGGAGGAAGCCAAGCCCTTTACAAATTCCACCCGTCTGCATTAAGCGCTTAACCAGGTAGTGTTGACTACCGCTCCGAACTGCCTAGTTGCAGAGAGTCATCCCCAGTGCTACGGCCTCCTTCCTTTCCGTAAAGCGCTCCAGTCGAAGTTGATGTGGTGCCACAAGAAGTCATGCAATCTTCACTAAAAGGAATGAAGATTTAAAGCATCCCTCACAGGCCGGAGACAAAGGGCTGATTCATCCAAGGCCTCGCCTCTCCAGAACAAGACAAAAGGGGTAATTTACTAACATCAAGCCGATTTTCTGGCCTTCTCATAAATTTGTTTTCGTTATTTTGTAATACCTTTCTTCCGATGTCCACGTCCTGGCCAGCAGGGAGAGCTCACAGCCGCCTTGCCTGTCGCGTGATTCGAAGGGCGCCGATCCTTTTCGTGGTTTCAGGGGCCTGGGAGTTTCTATGTCGAGTGTATCATAACTCCTATCAGATTCCAGTCTATTGAAACAGAAAGGAGAGCAGGATGACAATAGACGCAAACGTTCATTCCTGGACTGGCTCGACCAGTTAGGGCAGGTAGAGACAAACAGCCAGTTTTGTGAAAAGCTGTGAAGAGTGGAACTTATGCCTGCAGTGCCACTGATTAAAGTACAGCCACTGCTCAGGGTATTTCATCCAATATTAGTTCCTGGTAATTTAATACTATTGTACCTTGAATGTAGGGAAGAATGCAAATTACATACTAAATACAAAGAGATGATAATATAAATTTCTGCTTTATGCTTTTCAGCATTTGTAAATGTAAGTGAGAATGTTCAGAAACTCAGTGCTTAATTTTTATCAAATGTTGAAAATTTGATGTTGAAAATCTTAATGTTGAAAATTTTAGCATGATGTGTTTTCATCAAATGCCTTTTAATAAGCTTGTTTATGAACTTGAATACTTCAATAATCACATTGCAGTTTTCCTTACGTTTTTTTTTTTTTTTACTTAAAACGTTTTGAGAAAATAGGTTGGATAGAATTTTTCTTGTTATCTCTTGATTTGAAAGGACTCAAATTATACAGCCAGTATTTTACTTGCCCTTTGTTACAGCGATAACAAGGGAGATTTTACTACGGCCTGAAATAAAACGTCTGCTCTTTTACTTTTTTCCTATGGTATCAATTGTAATTAGTAACTGTATTTTACAATTTTTAGGAAAGGCATATGAATTTTAAGCTGAAAACATCAGATTTAATTGAAACTGTGGACTTAATATCTGGCGTATGACCTCGATATCTAGTATTATTTAACCAAAGGCCAAAACGGAGGTAGGAAACACCCGATAAAGGGGGCATGAGGTAAATGGTGAGGTGGAGAGCTTTGATTGGTGGGAGGGAATATGACCATGGAGTTTATTTTATCAGAACCGGTCATCGCTTTTTTGGAATTATGATAATGTATTTAATAGCAAGCTAATTGTCACACTTTATGATATGAGGTTGTACACTACAAAAACATTTCTATGCATCTTTTTACAAGTTTCTGGGCCCTTTTAACCTTTTGTACTGTGTTGGCTGGTTTCCCCAACCTGTGAGGTCAGTGACAGATATAGACAGTTTGGAAGCAGCTTTAACACATTTACAGTCATGCAGTTAAATGGCTTCATACTATGAAGATTTAGTATTAAATTTTTGTTTCTTCATGGGACAGATGTACAGATTTTAAAATCGATAGCGTGACTTTTAACTGTCTTTTCCATTGTTAGATGTTCAGTATAAAAGGTCGAGCTGAGTCTGCTTTGACTTTGAATTAGAGGGCAGTGACCCAAGCAGAATTCTCTCAACATAATTTGTACGAATATGGCAGCTGTTCATATTAGATTACAGCATGGGGAATCATTTTATACATTTCTGTTCCCTTTGATTTATTTAAATTAGACAATGTTTAGTTAAAATTAACAAAAGTCACATGTGTTGTTGATACCGATCAGTAGCATAAGTAAAGCTACTTAGAAAACAGAAGAACTCAACTTCCATATACAAATTCCTCCCCTGTAAATTATGCTTATTATTCAAATCTGGATGGAAAAGCTGTGAAATAGAAAATATATTTACAGCTAAAACAATCAAGGGGTATTTTTTAATAAAAATGACAGTTTAAATGAATAGTCTCTAAGGATTGCACTGTAACAAAATGCACAGAAACTGGCAAAACAAGGATTGTTTTAAGCTGTAGCAATTAGATGAATAAGATTAGATGCCTCTCTGACTAAGGTTTTGGGTTTCAGTGGTGTTGTTCTGTACTCAAGGACTAGCTGTTGATTAAAGCTCAGTCCTGTTCACAGAGCTCTCATTTCTGGGCACTTGTTGCATTCCTGGGCCGACCCAGACTAATCTGGGCAGCAGCTCGGGAGTTTGGGACAATCAAGAACGAAAAGTCCATGGGGACCTAAACCTGCACTTGCCCCTGAGGGCAGGGCCTTAATCAGCAAAGACTGGCCAGACTATCTGAGGAAAGGTGAAGAACAAACACAACTGGAGAGAGCAGCTACACTAGGTTTCTATTTATACTTGCAGCCAAAATCACATTCAATAAAGGGAGGGGCACAGGTTTCGGTCCTTTATTTTCCTTTTCTTATATGTTCTCTCTTTCTGCTGCCTTTCATCTCCGTTCTCCTATATTCTCCTATGTCCCTTATGCCTCCCACTCCCCACCCCTTCTCTCTACAAAGGCCTGCCTTGCAGATTGCTGCTGCTGATGATTAGTTCGACGGCAGGCCTGGACCAGGCGGGCTTTTCCCAAGCATGACCTCCAGGCCCATAGCAAGCTGGGCTGCTCCTGGGCAGCTGGGCAGAAATCTGAGATTTTCCCCTTTCTTATCCCTCCTGATTCTCACTTTTTTCTGGCTGGCAAATTCTTTTTTTCTGGGGTCTCTTTGATGATGGTAAGGTTACAGGCCTTCTCTCTTGGTCTCATTCCCAAGTTCCCCAAATCCCTTTCTCCCTTGATAATTACTGGAAACCCCCTTCCTGATAACATGCACCATTCTCTTTCTTTTAGGTCTGGGTCCTTGGCCTGATTTTAAGCAAACAAATTTCTATTGCCATATTCAGGATTGCAGTCGTATTTAAAAATGTCTGTGTTGCTTAGATACCATTTTAATGTTCCAGAACAGGGTGTTTTATAACTGACTGTTCATTGTCTTGCACACTTCAGAATTTGAGCATTTTTAATAAACACCTACGACTTCAAAGCCAAGTTACTTGCATAATTCTGAAAATATGTAAAATTGCCATTCAGCTTCAGTGTTATTGCTATAATAGCGACCTGTAATGTTGCTTCATTCTCTTGTAAATAGTATGTTTTCTCTTTTGATATAAAATATTGGTCTTTTAAGTGACCTGTAGTTATCGGGGCTCCATCAAAGGTCTGAACAGTAAATTTTGCAGTCGCTATTTGGTAAATGAGTATAAACGCATAGATAGTATTTTTCTGCAGGGGCAGAAAAACAATCTAGTTTTTTTGTACCCCACAGTATATTTCCTGGTAAATTAAATGGATTTTTTAATGTTGTTTTTGCTGTTGTTTTTTTGATGGCCATCATGGTAGACATCTAGACACCACAATGCTCTGAAAGCCATGATGGCACCAGGAAATACAGTATTTCCTTGGATGTGACAAAGGGGGATTATGGAAAATGGCATGTTCCATGGTATAAATACTCATTGTAAAAATGACCACCAGCCTGTCTAACCCTCCATTTCATAACAAAAACAGACTAGTCAGAACGCCTTGGAGTACTCATTTGTGGGGTCCACATTGCCCCATATACTGTACTAAACCCCTGCAGCAATCACGTGACAGGAAAAAAATATAAATGTATTAGTATTTTAATTTTTTATTTAATTTAATTTAAGTTAGTATTTAATTTTTTAGTTTTTTTTCTTTGACGGCAGTTAAAGTATTATTTTTTTTGTGTATTATTTCGCTGAAGGCAATGCATTTAACAGATGCTTTTTACAGTTATTCTGAAGATGTACAGTAAATGTTAGCATGAAGCCTTAAGTGTTTCTGGTGAAGAGCTTTGGCAGCTTAAAATTTAGAGGAGAGTCTAAAGCTCATAGAGGTTTGTCACTCCAATCCATGGGTGGAGTTGTTTTTGGATGAATCACTATTTACAATACAGATGTCTCTTTTAAATGTATTGTTGAAGCATGTCAATTAGAACTAACAATATGAATGAATACAGAGTAAGATCATTTCTTTCATTTTTGTTCAGTACAAGTTTTGAGTGTTTTTAAAAGTAGTCTATAAAAAGAAAAAATATGATGAAGTTAGATATTTACATTTTACATTTTAAATAACATATTCAAATAAGGTTTTTGGCTTTTCTCTTGGAATTGAGCCGTGTTCACTGTTTTTTAACCTTTGGAGAAAGGTTTGATTTCGTTTGACTGGAATCTCTTTCAAGCTATAACTCAGTGCTGAATGTTCCCCGGAGCTTGATAAGCACTAATAAGACAGACAGACGGGTGGATGATTTAGTTTGTCTTCAATAATCATTCCTTTATGTAGGATACTTTCAAGGCATTCTTCTTTCAGAAAGCTAGCAAAATAATACTTAAAAAGAACAAATGCCGACCAAAAATTCTCAATTGATTATAATAACTATTAACTGTACTATTCAATAAATTCTAGAATTTTTATTTTTTATATTTTGTTAGTAATAACTTAGTCATGGTACAGTATAAAAATGGTGCATCAACTTCAATAGAATGTTATGGTTTTGCAAAGTCTGTATGTCCTGCTGTAATTCTGATATTTTGGTTTGGATGGTCATCCTCATCTTACCTGGTAGCATTGGATTTTATGTCTGCTCTAATACTGCCTGGTAATGATGATAGTTACCTTCCCCTGGCCTCTGGGAGAACACAGACAGTGCTCAACTAATTTCACTGTATTGTCAAATCAGCTCAGGTCAAATCAAGAGGCTACGGAGATACTACCGAACAGATTCTTCTTCAGTAAATATAACTAGGTCGCTATAACCACTTCTCATTATGAAATTACCCACTTCGGTGCTAATGCCAGTCGCTTGATATGAGTGCTGTAGCATTTTCTCAGGCTCCATGAGGGCCTGAGCTCCAGTGAAGTGGCCCCTAGCGTCCATCTTACCTGGCAGTGATGGACTGTACCTGTGCTCTAACACTGTCTGGTAACGATGTTCGCTGGGCGACCTCTGGGCAACAAGATGCTCCGCACAAAGCTTATTGACATAAAATGCACTGCATTAACTGACATGCGATAGGTGCATTGTGGACATATCCTGTGACAGCAGCTAAGAACAGAAAGGAGCCTCCTAACTAGCTGGACTTTAGATTTCCATGTTTTTCTGCAAACAATTTAATGAAAGCTTATGCCGCAATTTAGCTAGTTGGAACTTATACTCCACTTATTACAAATAAGTTGTGCTTAAAGTGTCCATCTCCTGTCATGGCACTTTTCCCCAGCACTATTACTGGCAGTTTAAGGAAACGTTTGCTTCGTTTGCATAGCCTGCACACCCAGCGGTGGATGGTGAAGCACAAACATGACATCCCTCATATCTCCTGCTCTCAGTTATGTTTCTTGGTTTGATTGAATCAGGTGGGACGGTATCTTCTTAATGACTATCCTAATTGCTTACTGCAGAGCAAATGTGAGCCATTTCACTGTTTTGCCATTTATATTAAATTTAGAAATTCATTCACATTGAAAGACCACGTGTAAATCAATAGGTGAAGTAAACCAGGTGAAGTTTTCAAATGGGCCACTAAAAAGAAATGAAACGACCCTCTGTGATTGATCTTGTGATGTGCAGATATACACATCACACATGGTGGGCTCAGGTTCCTGAAACTGACTGGATCTGCTAGCTCTCCTCATTCATCAGAACCTCATAGTTTAACAGTCATTATACTGATGAGGAAAAATGGAGATTGTTAGCTGAAATGGAACTCCAAAGCTGCAAAACCTGTTACCATAATGAACCGCATGTTATTTTAGGTCTTGTTTTCTTTTGTACTCATTATGAATAATATTTTTAGGATAAAAAGTACATGTAACTGAACCGTTGTGGCACTGGAAAATAGAGAAGGCATGCCGGTTCACTCAACTTTACAGATGTTCATAAAGGCTTTATATGTGCTATTAAATATTTAGCTTGCCAATAAACACTGAATCACACCTTTGTTTACTCCTCTTAAGTTTCTTAGTGATAAATGTTACAATGAATTTGCACCATGTTGTAATGCAATTGCCTAATTTGGTTACTTAACTGAACTGACAGTTGCAGGTGGGGTGAAGAGGAGTGCCAGTCAAATAAAGCTTAGTATGCGAGTTTATTACGCCACATCTTACTTAATGAAGTTCACAGTTTATCAAAGTGTTTGAACCAAGTGTATAAAACTAGTATTATTTCTAAGAATTATTGTAATCATCCCTCATCTTAGTTTTTTACTTGAATATTTCTTCTCATTTTAATCTAATTTTGCCGTTTCTGCCATAATATTTTGTAGATTTTATAATGTACATACAAAACAGTTTTCAAATGCATGCTTTCCATTCTTTTCTTCCTCTGTAAGGTAAAACAATCATTGGGCGACTTCCATGGCTTCCTTCCATCAGTGCCACTGTACCTGTCAATTGAGGTCTTACCAGACATGGTTAGATCTATCTGTACTTGTCTAATACTGTCTGGTAATGCCGTCCATTGCAGGGAGAGACATCTCCTCTTCGAATCTTCTCCCATCATCTCCTGCATTATGGTAATATTAAAAGCTAATTGCCATAAGTGGACCATAGATTAGAAATATTAGCATTCATGCTATAGACTAGTAGCATTAGTAAGCAGTGCATAGTCAAGTACAGTAGCTTTGGTAAGGAGAAGACAGCTTAGTAATAGTGATAATCATAATGCATTATACTTTTCATACAGTCTGCAGTGTTTAATAACTTAATTCTTTGCAATGGATTTGTATATAAATACCTACATAATGCGTGTGTATGTTTATATATATAATCTTTGGATATCTTGCATACAGTTTGTGTTTTGTTAAGTTTCTGAACATTGTGCATAGTATGGCTGGGACAAAATATTTCTTATATATTTTGTAATATTTTTAAATATCATTTTAAATATTTTTTTTCATATCAGTTGATATAGATACTTATCAATCATATAATTCAAGTCATTATTTCTTTACTTCTAGTTTCAAATTTTATTTTAAATTACTTTAATATATATTCAGAACATGAAAAAAGGAGAAATTGATGGACTCCAAATCAAAATCTAATTTTAATAAATGAATCACACAAAAATAAACATTTTTGTTATCGAAAATGCTGGCAGTGTGTTTTTTGGTCTTTTTTTCCCTGACTGCTTTGCTCTATGATTGGTTGAAATTGCATTTGTTTCTGTGACATGGTATGCTGTTATAATAATTGATATTTTATTGATCCCTGTGGGGAAATTCTCTTCGTGCCCCTCCCAACTTTCTCTCTGTAGGTGAAAGCAAGGGCAGCCGCCTATAACAGAGCCCAGGGCGCTGCTGCTTGAGGGCCTCGCTTAAAAACGCAATTGGGCCCAGACCGGGCTTCAGCTGGCAACCTTATAGGTCAGAGGCACCAAGGTCCAGCCCACTGAGCCCCACACTGCCTCCATATAGCCACATGCTGTCATGCATTGTCCCTTATCTAGAGTTTATTGACGTTTCTCATTTTCTTATCATTTAAATTGTACTTGACAATAAGTCGATATATCATTTATATCGCCCAGCCCTACTACCTAAGTAATTATGTTAACTATTGCATATTAAAAGTGACTGCTGTGATATTTTTTTCATGTGTCCCATTTCATGTAATGGATTGATTGTATGGATTATTCATTTAGTAATGAACTATATATTCCTGTTTTAAGTCATGTAGTGATAAGCATAGTTCACATTATGAATAAAGATATTAAAACATTCTTAAACATTAACTTTTGTTTGTGTTTATTATAAGGATATTTAATATTCATATACTTTAATGCCAGTACCACTCATTAAAATATTGGCTTTTTTCATAAACTTCTGCTAGAACTGAGAGTCAATAAATACCCCAGTGTTGCTGTTTTAGCTGCCTAGTGATATATGTGTATTACACCCTAAGGTGACCAACTACAACAGTAGTGATTTGCCCAACCTCCGATTAAAACAGTCTTGTATTTGCATCATGAATATCAAAACTTTAGCTTCAGTTTAACTTTAGCAAGCAGCTTTGTTCGAAACATGGTCTACTTTGCCGACACAGCTGAGTATTTACAGGCTAACATATCATTCTGTCAAAAGTATAAAAGCATGTATGCAAGCTGAACCTGCAGTTGTATGCAGCTCTTTAACAGTGGGACAACCCATTGATCTTCATACTTGTATTCATAGGACCAAATATTTAATGTTATTCATTTTGCTCAGGCTAAGATGAAAGGACCCTCAGTTCTGGTGCTGGAATGCCAGTAACCGCCATCTTTCACCTGGTCCCACTATATCCATTAACTTGCCCGTTGACGTCACATGACCCAACAGAAACACTGAGATGCCTGCTGACTGGGGGGTGTGGATCAGGTTTCCCATGAACAGAAAGCTCTTTTTTGACAAACCCTGGGTACATACCCCCACCTCTCTCTACCACTGTAGGCCAGATCTTCTGGTGCTGGGCCTACAGACAAGGCAGCTAACAAAGAAATCCCAGTCTATCTGAACCAAAGTACTGACAATGCAAAAAGCTTACTCTCTCTGTGCATCACACATTTAATTTTATTCATGACATCTTAACTGTAGGATCATATATGCATTAAAGTTTATATATGACAAGGATGAAATTTAATTTAAATTCTTCATCACACTTGAGCCACTACCCTGCTTTTACTCAAACAGGTAATGCTCAGGTTATCTATGTATCTCAAAGCAATCGATGGACATCCTTGTTTCTTAAGGTTTGGCATTCATGGTGGAATTCCAGAATTCTGGCGTTGCATGCCTGGAACTGGTCCATGCATGTTCAGCAGCAGTTTGCATTGTTGGTGCTCACACCTGGATTGGCTGTGATGTGGAACAGGGGCAGAGGAGAAGATGGTAAGTGGATGTGTGGTGAGTTTTGTTTTCTCATGCTTTTATAATGGAAGCAAATGTAGACTCCGAATTGCTCACAACAGGTAAAAGGTTTTGTGATGCATACATGCCATTATACTTTATTAAAATGCTGCAAATTAAACCAAAAGGTCTGGAATTTTGTCACCCATATAATGGAAGTTAGTTATAACACAATAGCTGGTGATGGAACAGAGAACAAAAATATCTAGATTGTGTATGTGGAATGTGTGGAATTTATGCACATTTGTGTCTCTTCTTGGAGAAGATTCACTGCATTCCATAAATTATGCAAGGAATATTTGGAAGGTTTATCCCTTAAATTGTATGCCAGTGCAAGAAGACAATCAAATTGATAAAAAACATATTAATCTTAATTATTGATAATAATTGATATAGCAGAGCATGAATAATATATAGCATGAATAAGAACTCTAGGGGCAATTAAAACAATAGAAACATAAATTGCAACCTAAACATAACATGTCTGTCCAAAGAAAGAAAGAAAGTACAAGGAAAAAGTGACAGTCATAGTGAGAACGTTTACATGCACAGCTGAGTTGAGCTACAGTTATAGCTCGACTACGTCATGTAATGCTAACAAGCTGAAAGGAGCCATATCGTCAATCAAACTTGCTATGTGGACCAATGGTTGAGAAACACTGCTTTAAATGTAGGCTCTTTGTCTTGGAGTTCAGTCCAAAATTCAATATTAATTAAGACTTTGTTCAAGGAAAATGTTATTAAGGTCGAACTGTCATAAGTATACTTTGTCTCATCTGTGTAAAACATGTGCTTGAAGAGCATGGTGGTTTTGGTGGTTTAAGGCAGCGTTTTCCAACCCAGTCCTCAGAGAGCCCCAGTCAGTCCACATTTTTGCTCCTTCCCAGCTCCAGAGGACCAGATTGGGAAGGGTTGGGGCCCCTTGTTACTCCATCTTATAGTGGTGGAATGCAAGGTGATACATGTACATATATACTATACTCAAAAGTAAATATAAAAGCAGTGATTAAAAAACAAAACTGCATTAAACAAGTAATGCATAAAGAGAAGCTACAGGTAAATGGAATATTTTTTCATAATGTGGAACACTGCAGTTTCCTGTTAGAGACAGAAATATGGTGTCTTTAGCTTCTTTAGTCATCTTGTGTCCCCTTGTGCAGAGGATCCCTTCACAAGGCTGCATGGGGCGAAGGTGGCATGTCTTATAGAGAAGATCAGCTTGATCCCTCTACAAAGTGAATAAGTCCTGAATCACATGGTACATAAATTCTGAACCAGTCTATATACTTTGCAAACCATCTACATTTTCACCAGTGTGTTAAGTACATTCTCCGCTGAGTCAGAAGAATGTGGAAAGGTTATTGGCAAAGATTTTAGCACATTTTTAAATGCACTGCGTTACAATTATTATATTTTCTTCTAAAGTGTTGGTTTTAAAGCAAAATAATGAAATTGGCATCTGTTATCCTCCAAGGTTAACACATTCTGACAAGGATGCAGAAGTATGAAAAATATTAAAGCCGAATTTGTCGTTTTCATACTTAAAACAACATGTTTTATTCATGACCTTGATAAGATGGGGATGGTACTCTCGCCATTGAGGGTCAGGTTACTGGGGCTATTTGTATTAATTTATTCCAAAGATCGCTCATTCATGAAACTAAACTAATGTGTCTTTAAATTATGTTCTGTGGCAACACCAAACAGACTGCAATTCCAGTGTTTGTGGTAAAAACAGCTCCGTTACTTTTCTGGTTTTGTTTCAATAATTCCATTCATATCTGATCACAAAACAGGAAAAACAGTGTGTCATGTGGTCCTTTTCACTTTCCTGGGCTAATCAATTCTGACACCATACATTTGCATGAGACCTTATATTTATATGAATTACATGAATACATATATATGTCCACCTTCAGCATCTTTGGTGCCTCTGTGTTTGTCTGCGTTCTCCATGGTTTTTGTCAGAGTTGTTCTCCTTGTGTTTGTTTTATGTGTCAGTCTTGTTCCTCGTGCTTCGTTGACATTCTTGCTTTTGTTTCCCCAGGTGTTGTTTTGTCCGCGGGCTCGTCGCTTCGCTCTCCTTAGGCATGCCCGGAGTGCGCGCCTTTGGAGGGGGAGAACGTCCTGTCCTGCCCCGATCATCTGCTCCTTCTGTGTGCCACGCCCCATTGTTAACCTCGAGTGGATTCCCCATGTTTACCAGCTGTTTCTTGTTGCTGTCACTAGTCCTATGTATTTAAGTCTGCGTTAGGTATGATTTCCCCAATCCGGTCATTGATGTTACTAACGTGATTGTGTGGTTCTGCCTGTTCTCTGTCCTTCATTAAACCTTGTGTTTCCCCGATTCCTGAAATCTTGCCTCTGCTTACTCGGTCTGTGCCCGTGTGACATTTATGTATTTTGTTTAATGCTTGCTTGTACAGAACATCACAACAGTTTAAAGATATAAATTGATAGCATAAATTGATAAAAAAGCATTATTAATATTTATAACAGATTTTATCATTGCAGGACTCTGGTTGTTGCTCTAGCAATGCAGATTTATATTAGATGTGACATGAGTTTACATGTAGGTCTGTAATAGTGGTTCAATAATAGCATCTGTGCTGATGAAGGATGTCAGATGCTGTAAATTTGCTAAAATCTATGATAAAATCACTATAACAAACTTAATACCGTGCTTTTGCGGCTAAGCACACTGCTGCTGCAACAGAGTGTACATGAGGCGTCTGTCACCATTTGTGTAACATGACATGATGGCACATTGTAGCTTGAATATTGAGTTACTTCTTTTCAATATGTCACCTAATGGATCATGTCAACATAAATAAAATAAAAAAACAACAACAGTATTACTTTATTCTACACTCACCTATCTTTTATGTCCCGCGTGTAGGCTTGGATTTAATGCCTGAAATGTCTTTTAAATCACTTGTGGAATGGTATTAGACACAAACATAGTTTACAGATTACCTTCTATTTCTGTGGGAAGTGTTTGCCAGAATCTGGCAGCCAGGATAAACATGTGTTATAAAAAATCTTACAATGCCCAGTTCCGGTGTCTCTGGATTCAGGAATGCACGTTCCCTTCCCAGTTTGTGAAGAGAGGTATACTAAACATATGAAAAGAACCAGGAAAAACACATTTATCCTTCGCACTTTGTATATTCAGGGCAAATTCATTTTTAAAATACAACTGGTATCCAAAAACTATTACTTTCCATGATTATGCCTGACTGTAGAAAATACAATATTGGCCTTATAAAAAGTGAGGGAACATATGAAGCAACAGACTGTCCTATATTTTTTTAATCACTTTTAATATGTAAGCTCACTGTGGGAAGGCATTATGAAAGTGCTCCTCTGCCTTGTATTTATACTATGTACAGCTGTGGTTTTGAACCTGTACGATATACACAAACCCTAAACATGAGGGAAATGTACTACATGAACTATGCAGTAAATAAGGAAACATGCCTGGGATTTTCATTTTAATAATCTTACATTTGAAATGAATATTATTTTTTAAACTCATTGAAACTCATTTGGGCTGCGGGGCACTTCAGCATATGCCTGTTTTTGTCACACCCACTTCCTTAAACCAGTTGGGCGATTATTTGCTTTGACGCAGTAAGAGAGGCACATAGTATAGTGTTGTTAGTGTTGTGGGTGGAGTCTGCATATTTTCTTTGTGTCTTTGTGGTTTTCCTTCCCCATATGGTTAAGGTGACTCAGTGTTTCTAAATTTCCAACAGTAAGTGCGTGTCTTGTGATGAGCTGGCTTTATTCCCGAGCTCCTGATTGAGACTTTACACTGTATATGTGGTTAGGGAAAATAGATGGGTCTTCATGAAATTATAGGGGTGGATAATTTTACCTGCAAAGGGCCAGTGTGTGTGCAGGTTTTTGGCATAACCTTTAGGTAAGTTGTTCAAACCCAGCTGTGAGGACTCTTCTGCTAATCAGTCCTCTAATTAGTGATCTAACCAAAACCTGCACATGCCCGCTAGCGGCCCTTTCTGAATAAGATTAGCCCCCGCCCCCCGGTCTATAAATTAAAATTACTAAAATACCTGTGTTTTTTCACAGAACGTGATCATTTAGGTTAATTTATGGACATTTGTAGACATTTCCATTAGAATGAATAAGATTAAATCTTCCATTTGGTTCATTCAAGGATTTTTTTTGTCTAGCTAGTATAAATGTTCTGATTTTAATTTGCAGTGTGTCATCATTAGAAAACTGTACAAGTCATTGTCTTGCACTAATAAGGTAATGGCTTTCAGTTGATAAACTTAAAATAAACTGATGTGACGGAGTGTTTACGCAGTCTGGAAATGGCGCTCCTGCATGTCAGCATCCGAAGACTGAAGGGATTGGTTTCCATGTATCCGGGCCTCTTGTGTCTGGTTGTCCCACAAGAGGCCACCTGTTTGCTCTACTGATTGAACCTGTTATACCAGTTTAGCAAATTCGCCCGATGGGGTCTGATTCCTTAAGTAACGCTAACGAACCTACTTGCATCCATAGAGGAGACATATCTGCACTGGGCCTTTTTAAAAATTAAAGTGGGAAAGCGTGGCAAATTAGCTATGCAACTGTGTATAAAATGTAATTTGTGTCATTTGTCATGTAAGCCTCAAATAATCATTGTGGATATCAGTGAGAAATACGGCGATGCTCTGTGGTTTGTTAAATCTCATGGTGCATCACCATGAAACCATGTAACACCATCAAACAATGGAAGAAACACCAGATAAACTGAAAAAAGGGTGCAGTTCCGTTTAATGGGTCCTGTTGGTGTCAAACACTAGTGTCGACCTTTGCTTTTTTCTATTTGCACTGCCGAAATTTGACTGAAAAATATTAGTGCCATATTACTCAAACTGCAGGCTTTAGATTAGTGATTAAGGATTGTGGGAGCATAGGATTGTTTAGGAAATTGCTATTTACTTTTCATTCCATTTTAATTCGACAAATTTCTTAAATAGTTTTTGCTTGGAAAAAAAAAAGATTTTGATGAAATTTAGCATGTGAATGACAGCACCCAGAGCTTAGAATAATTTTATTTTATTTTTCATTTTTAGCACAAGCCATGTAGCAAATAAATAAACACACACACACATATATATATATATATATATATATCAGAGTGTTTTCTCATGAGCTGTAACGTTTTACTGACTCAGTTATAGCTCGTTGAAGAAGTTAGAAAGAATACTTCTTCATAAGTCTAAGGTCTAAGTTAATCTCGCAAACTACATTTATTACTACGTTTAGTTATGTAAAAACAGTGAGTTGCAAGTCATTTTTTATAATGAAATACAAATGTATGTGTACAACTTATATATAAAACACTGACCTGTTTTTCTGTCTCCTTCGTGAAATAAGCGGAGTACTACCTCTATATGAGGCTCATAAGCAGCACTAAAAAATAATAAATACTCTACAATTTTGGGGAGCATATCTCATGAAGGGAGCCAAGAAAGAGGTCACTGTTATTTAAACATACATATGTATTTCATTACAAAAAACTGAATTGTTATTCCACTTCCTTCACTGTTTTCTTAAAAAATTAATTGTAGTAAAAAATGCAACAAAAAAAATATATATGACATGCAAAACTGCAATTTGAACTATAAGATGAAAAAAATACTCTTTCTGAGTTTTCCAGAAAGCTATAGCTGAGCCATGTAGCTGTAGGAATAGCAAACATTCTCAATTTGCTCCCCATGGTGTAGAAAAGACACTATATCTAAAAGGGAAATAAAAAATACACAAAAAACAAACATCATTTGAGCTCTGGGATGTATGTGTAATTAACATGTTAAATATCATCAAAATGCACATGCCATTAACATGTAACATGTTCTTCAGTATTTGTTATATGTAAATAGCTTAGGAAAGCCGCAGTGCCCAGTATTGCAGCATAACACATAGAATCAAACTACAGTTAGTAACTGTTGCCAAGGAAGCCATATCCTAGGCAACCTGGATTTGTTTACACTCTCACAGTTAATGAGTTCCACACTGAGTACACCCTTTATGTACATCATATATCTCTGGCAGTGCATGTAAGTTTATATGGTGCATTTTTTTTTTATTGAGCTTCAGTTGTTTGGCGTTCTCTGAGGTTATATTCAAAATGAGGCTGAACACCTTTATATTTAAATGCATTAGAAATAACTCACTAGTCAAGTGTTACATTATAGATATTAATGATTTTCAGTTATTTTTCTATTAACTAAGGTTATATATTAGTTGTGTTCTACTCCCATAATTTTCATTGAGGACTTTATTTGTAATGGAAATGGGTTGCAGTTTTAAACAGCTTTGTTTTACTATTTCACTATTACAGACATCTCAACAAATGGGAAAGTAGTTTGGCTATTAAACTGGTTTACTGTGTTTACTAGACAGTTATGTTGCAGTGCAAATAGGTTATTTGATCTATCATGCATTTAACAATTACAAGATTACTTAACAAGATTGTTACATTTCTGTAGGCAATATTGTTTTTCTGTCCTGGGAAAGGAAAAGAATGAAAAATGAACTAATAGATTCAGTTGCGGATACTGCAGAAAATTACTTTTCACTCTCACAGTAAAGCAGAGTAGCAGTAATATGGTTGGAGGACTGTTTGATTCGTAGTCAACTGGATCATTAGAAAGTGATGTGATCAAAAAACTCACCAAGCACAGTGAGGCAGGGATGATGGAGGGGAGTCAGGACTGTGACAATTTACAAACCTCAGATGGAAGAAACATCAAGGTGAAAACAGAGGATGGAACCAAGAACATTGTGGCTTGCAAGGCACAAGATCTGAAGGATGTGGAGGAGAGAGGGGTGATCAGCAGGATGTGGAGGAGAGAGAGAGGGCAGCTTCCTCAAGGGGGCAGCAGTCTTCCAGAAAAAAGTGGGGGTCACTTAGCAATGTAGCAATGTATTTACTATAACCCAGACTACCAATATATCACCTTTAATGGCAGGATAAAAGAATGTGACAACAAAATAAGCAAATAGTTTATTTAGTTTGTGGAGTAATATCTTGAGTAAAAAAACTATTAAAATGTGATTTTTCTGTTTGTCTGTTTTGTGTGTCTGCATGCTTTATGTATATGTGGTACATTGTTTATACTTTACATGGTCATAGATGTTTTAAATGTAGGTACATGCAAGGATAAAAGCCACTCAGATAGAAAAACCAGAAAAGCACCTTCAGGAAACCAGGGAGGGGGCAAACTCATGGCCCGAAGTCTGGGAGGCACGAAACCAAAAGAAGCCAAGGGGAGTGGACCTTTTTTCTTTGTGGGGGGGAGGAATGGAGCCCCCATGTGAGTGTTTACAGATCCTGCATATAACATACTTATATCACGTTTACTGTACTAAAAACTGTTTTCAGAAGACACTGTAATCTGGTTCCCACAATGTAATATATACACGACCCCCCCCACACACACACACAGTGCAAGACAGGATTTGGGCCGATTGGTTTAGACGAGGCAATCAACTGCTAACTAATGATGTAGGTTATGTTTTATCATTTTTACCACATACACATACTTTTTTTTAACACAGTATTATCTGATGTTGTCAGTTTACAAGTTTTCTTGTTTGAGATATTTATCCCCTTCAATGTGGAGAGACAGCCTGTCTGCATAGCCAGCGTGTTTGCACCTATGTGTTAAATGATAATTGATATGTGGGCTTCCTATGTGTTATTTAGAGTAACAGCATATTGTGAGAGCAAAGGGTGGCACCGCCTATATGACAAGAGAAGAAATGACTACATACTCAAGTGGTGTGAGATCAAGTCAAAAATCGCCTACAACAGTTTCAGAGAAGGTAACTTAAACTTTCCTTCACTGACAGGGACTATCGCAGTTTATGTGTACTTGTATGATTTTTCATGGAATATGTGTTCCCAGGGGATGGTATGGTGGCATAGTAGTTGCATTGTTGCTTCACATGTCTGGGTTTGAGTCTTCTATCCTGGTTCTGCGCGTGTGGAGTTTCCTTGCTTCCTTTGTGTTGTAGTAACATAGACATATTCATTTATTGAATGTTGTCACAAAACAACCTTCATATGTAGGCATGTTACTTCCAGGTTCTCCTCCTCCCCCTGTCACCCCAAATCCAAAAATATGTTTAGGTTAATTGGAGTTGCCAAATCATTCCCTGCTTTCTGTCTGTAGGTCCAGACCCCCATGACTCTGCACTGTCACAAAATAGAACCAATATGTACCTTTGAGGGTACAATTGCTTGTCACTGGGGCAGAACTCTCAAGGGTCTGCCAATTGTGCCCTAGCTATAGGTAAATGGACTCTGATGAACCATTGGGTGTAGTTTAATGATGTTTGTAGTTTGGGGAACAAAACCATACCAGGTCTGTACCCTTTATGACAGAGTGGATCTGTTCAGTTTATGATGTGGGGGGGTGGGGGATTAACATTCTAAAAATATAGCTGTGATACCTCCAATATACTCAGATCCAAACAAGTGGTTGGAAATCTCATTTTAAACTAAGTTCTTTAAAACTTGCCCCAGGCAAGGTTTTCTCCAAATATATTTTTAAAACTGGATTTAACTGGAAGTGTCCCGATATTTTAAAATAAACCTGCAGCTGTGATACTGCTTGATTTTGTGACCATAATTTGGACCTGCAGCCACTGATGTGATTCTTGTGATTCGTAGGACAGCAGCTGCTGTATCAGATCCCAAACAACAGTGTGCTGACCACGAAGATTGGGCTCCTGAACAGCTTGAGAGCATTTGACAGGGTCAATAGCAAGCTCCCGCAAGGCTGTGGGCTGAGGTTTGTAAGTCATGTGACTCAGTGAAATAGTGTATTTGCCTAAAACAGGAATAACAAAAGGCTTCCCTGGAGGACCCCCCCCCCCCCCCCCCCAAAAAAATGGCAATGCCAGATTAATACATTTGGTTAGACTAAATACTTCATCCTAAGTAAAGTATCAAAACAAAAAGATATTACAATACATGCGCAGTATATGATGGAGGGGTTATTATCTTGTATTTAATAGATACAATGTCTACCATTATGTGCTCCCTCTGGCTTCCTCTGTCATTCATTTAGTTCTGTAACAAATATGAATACTATAAGAGATCTGTTACATTACATTACATATCTCATCTCATCTCATCTCGAATGCTGTGTATCACAGGAAGCTGAAGATGGAGGACTTTATCCCAGAAACATCTCGCATGGATGTTAGAGATGAACAGGAAGCATTCTTTGCACAGCTAGAAGGTGACACAAAACAAAAAAATAGCATTATCAGTATAAGCTAGAAAAAAACAACCTATTTACATAATTTCTTGTCTCAGATTTTGTGCTGAAGAGGAACGTAGCATTAGCTGCATCTCGAACCATTGTGCAGAGCCTGTGCCCATTCCAGAGGAGTTTTTGATGTCATGTTTGTTCACTGAATATGAACAATGATAATACTGTTAAAATTTATTCACATGGTACATGAACAGTGTGTGAAATACAGGGGGGGTCCGACACCCCCGATTAACCCATGAGACACCCTGAAAGCCTCAAAAGCAAAATTTTAAGGGGGTCTCAAGATCAGTATTGCGCAACAATAGGGAGATGGGGACCCCCCCCGAAGATTGACGGGTATTTCACACACTGTATATGAAGCTTTAGCCAGCTGGTTCAAGGTTATTTTGTTTGTTTGGCTGCACTTTCACAATAGCCTGTTTAAACAAATCTTTTCTTGCTGGTAAACTGTTTTTAAGATCACATATGTCTTTTCTCTGTCCCTTCTGGTAACAGCCTATATGAGTGGAGCTCAATCCATTCCATGGATCTGCAAGCCTACAGGACTGAATCAGGGGCAGGGGATCTTCTTGCTGAGGACAGAAGAGGACATCAGGGTCTTTCAAATCCAGCTACAGAGTCTCAAAGACCACCAAACTTCCAGGAAGTCATACCACCAGCAGCCTTATATTGTTCAAAGGTTAGAGAACACATACATACTAGTAAATCAAGTAAATACTTGTCATTAATCCATAATACTCAGCATAACATAGAAGTTATAATTCCAGACAGAGAATTAATGTGAATAAACACATCTGAGATGTTTTACTCTGTAGTGGTACAAAGAACCCTGAACTGTGCTTCAGGCAATGGTATCTGTCCTCACCTATTGGCTAAGCCTTAAGGGTCTGAACAGCCACTGAGACTTTGTGCAGCTTATGCACAATGGGGAATGCAGGTTTGGATCCAGATGCACAGAAAATCAGATGTGAATTAACTGGAATTAAGAAGAAAGGGAAAACGAGGAAATGGGAACCAGAATGAAGTTAAGGTGAAGAATCAGGGAGCACAGGATAAAGATGGGAAATTAAGTCTGGAACAGAGAAGATAGATAGAATCAGACATCCTAGACTAAGATATTAAACCAACTGGCCAGGGACTCTACTCAACAAAGATTTGGGAAATTACACTACATTGTCAAGCTGTTTATATAGACAGGCAAGCTTGTTGAATCACAAATGTTGTCCATGATGAGCACAACCATGCAGAGATGACTTCACCTGTGAAACTGGACGTGATGTAATATGCCCCTGATGGGTGGTGTTGGATCCAGAAGAATGGAACTGTGATCAGACTTGACCCTAAGGAGGGGCCCCCTTATTCTTAGGAGATAATCAAAGAGGGTTAGCCTGTTGGAATTTTACAATGTCTCCTGGAACATCATTAACATGCTCCATAAAATCACCAAGCGTGTTTACTAATCCAAAAGGCATGATGCTCGTAATGCCTAGTGGTCATTTGGATCTCCATCTTCCATTCGTCACCCCGCTCCAGCTGGACTAGGTGGTATGCTCTACATAGATCATGCTTAGTGTAGATATTCATACTGTAGACTTTCTAGACAGTGCTTAGGGTCAATGGGGAGGGGATAGTGACTCTTTGCTTTCCATAAAACATGATGACAGATACACAGGTGAGAGCAAGTTTTTGGGGGAGTGCAGGGTTGGGCGGGGTTTAGCACCCCTGTAAAATTCAGGTTTAAGAGCCTTGCTGAACCCTCTCACTCTCCCAGTTAGGTGATTTGAACCAGCAACCTTCTGGTCATGGACACAGAGCCACACAATTCTGGAGGGAGAAAGTGGCTTTTTTTCTCTATGTCTCTAGTGTAAGCAGACAAATCAGTCCCTAGGACCTTCATGACTAAAATGTAATAAATTTAACTAAAACAGTTAAATTTGAAAATATGTGTGATAAGTGCTAGCAGTATTTTGACTAGTCGTGAACTATACTTTCACAAATCCTAAAGAATTTTTGCTAATCCTTTACATTAACTGCATCTTCATAATACATTTATAGAACATTCATGAGCAGCATAGTATGTTAGAATGTCAAGGCATACCTTAACATCCTAACATACCTTAACAACTTCAACATACATTAATAACAAACATTATATGATAATTGCAATCATTATAATCATACAATCGCATGTTGTTTGTCATACCATTGTATGCTTAAAACCAACTGTGAATAGTACAGTGGCTGAGTAGTTAGTGTCGATGCCTCACATCCACAGGGTTGGGCAACACAAGTCCCACCTCTCCCTTGTGTGTGTAGAGTTTGCATGCCTGTAGTGTGTGACTAGCGGCTGACTGACGTACCATCCTGGGTGGACCTCCAGCCTTGTGCCCCTGGCTGCCTGGAATGAGCTCCAGGATCCCCTGTGGATAGGTGAAGTTAATTGTTGAATGCGAACAGCTAAAACCATAAACCTCTCCTCTAATGATGAAGGGTAAATAATTTTGAGGATTTGGGGGTGTGATTATGATATTGAGATTCTTTGTGATTTGTCTATTTTTTACCAGGTACATCCAGAACCCTCTGCTTCTCAAGGGCAGGAAGTTCGATGTGCGATCCTACCTTCTCATTGCTTGTACTACACCCTACATAGTGTTCTTTCGACATGGATATGTACGACTGACCTGTGACATCTATGATCCAAACTCCAGCAACCTTTCTACACATTTAACCAATCAGGTACAGTACACTGCCCTAGGAATTGTTATTCTGACAGATAAAATTATCATGCACTTTAATTTCTCTGTTGTCTAAAAATAACTGATTTTGTTGTAAAGGTTAAAATGTAATTAATCAAATGTTCAGTTGGCTATTTATTTTCTGTTTGAAACACCCAAACAATTTGCAGAAACATTCCTAATCATATTCTAGTTGAAATTCTGACATTCATGAGAGGCTAACCAAACACAAATCGATTTCTGTTTTGCTTACATGAGCAAACAAACTCAGCTTGTTAACAAACTCGTGCTCACAGATATATTAACGTGGGTTTCCCTTGGAATTATAAGCATTTTGGAGACCCCTGTCCCTGGTCAAACACATTACTTTGAAAGCTCAGATTCTTGGGAAAAATCTATATAAATCTTGTCTCGATTCAGTGATTTTGACTGGTCACCAGCTTTTCCCATGCCACCTCCAGCTTACCCAGTCTTGAAAAGAGCAAGTAAAAGTATAAAAGTGCCCTACCTATGTTTCATTGTAGGTTTTTTCTGCTTAATTCGATTCTTGGCTTTAAAAGTTTTAAAAATCATTCCTGGCACTTTCTGTGATGACGGATGTTGTAAACAAACAGGAAGTGCACTGTTCCCCAAGCGACCATACTGAAAAGCTAACAAATGTTATTAATATTTTTTTAATTTACTGACTATATGTCTGGAAAATGTTTTCCAATGGTTAGAAACTTTTGTATTAAAATAATGAAAAAGTTTTTGGCTGGATTATTTAATGTTTTTTTATATTTTTAATGTTTTTGTTGAAACTTCTGAAATTTGGAAATTAGCAGCTGTACCACATATGGGTCAATTAGGGGGCAGGAAAGACATATGCGATCTTAAGTTATTGCCTTCCAAAAGAAACAAAAACAGTTACAGTAAATACTAAAAGACAGCTGTCACCTATGCATAGAGCTTTTTGTCTTACACTTTTAGGAAGGGGTTCCCTCTCTTCATCCAAGTGGGTGTTCACAACCTTCTTTATTGAATCTTTTGCATCATACTGTACAAGCTACTATGACTATATGTGAGATTTTTAAATATATGTTCAATGTTATATTTTGTATGAAAAATTACTTTCATACATGTATATAAGCCTGTCACGATCAGTCCCTGCCTTGTCCCTTGCTGTCTGTCCCATTTGGCCAGCAGGTGGAGCCAGCCATCCTGTTCTTTCCTCTGTTTTTCCTGAGGTTTAGCATCATTACTTTTTCTGATTGTTTTCCCCTGTTTCCCGGGCCACCGCATGGCTGAGCGAATGGCTAACATTTGTGCATACAGCATTTTGGAGATTATAATAATTAATTTTACTTTGACACTTGACTCGACATCATGATTATTATGTTCCATGTGATTATGCACCCCAGTATTTGTCCTGGGGAATGTTCCACAAAGCAGGATTTCTCAGTTAGTTTGGTTAACTTAAGATTGAATTTATGATTGTCCAATAGGAATGCTCCTTACCTTACTCTTATAGGACAATCATGACTTCCAGCTAGAACATACCCTGGTTTACCCTGCCTGTGTCCTGCCTTGTAGCTTTGTCTTGTGTCCTGGTATCTCCTAGTGTTCGAGTTCATACCTAGTGTCTGGTCAGTTGTTAATGGCCCACACCTGTCTGTCATCTAGTCCTCTTTTATGTGTGTGTGTGTGCGTGTGTGTGTGTGTGTGTGCCTGCTCTTGCCTTGTTCCTCTGTTGGTAATTGAATGTGCTGTAGGTGTTGAACATGAATGTGGTTCCTGCCTGTGGTATCTGTATGTGTTCCTTCAGTGTTGCTTGTATGCTAGTTCTAGCCTTTGTTAGTTTGTCTGCCTGCCATGGCTTAGACCCTCTGTGGCCCTTTTTGTTTCTTGTTCTCAAAAGTTTCTTTGAATTAAGGTTCCCTGTGTCCTGAAAGCTGCCTCATGGATCGTCCATCGTTCCCCATCATAACAAAACCTACACAGACGATACTCAAACCTCGTCATTTACCATATCTGGGGTCTAGGACTGACTATATTCTACATATAGATACTGTAGTAACATATGAATTTGAGCAATTTTACAATCATGTCCTAATTTTGCTGTTTAATCTTTTCCTTTTTCACCCCATTCTCTTTTTCCTTATTTATTCCTGATCAGTACATACAGAAGAAGCATCCACAGTATAAAGTGTTTAAGGAGGATACAGTTTGGTCCATGGAGTCCCTCAATGTCCATCTCAACCAGCATCACTGTCAGGATAAGGCCCTCTCACAAGACTGGGTCTTTGGAGCTTTTACAGTGAGTGTAGACAAAGCAGGGCTAATTATAACAAAATTGTATTTGTGCCTATTAATTTGTGTACATTCGCGTGTGAATGTCTTTGTATTCAAACCATGAAAATCAAGATACCATGAACCATGGCTTTCCAAGACTAGGTACTGTGCAGAAGCCAAAAACAGCTTGTGCACCAATGAATTGCACATTTATTATCATTTTTACTTAAATTTTATTTTAGGTGTGGAAAAAGTAAAAAAAAATATTGTGCATATACACAAACAAAATCTAGTTTCCTCTTTCTTTCCAAGTGGGAAAGCTAATGGTGCTGCATAATTTTTAAACTAAAAACGCTTTTCAGTTGAGATAAGCCTAAATTTGCCATTACAGACTAGCTAGAATATTTTTAGGTTTGTAGCCTAGTGGTTGTAAAGGAATGGATTGAAATGTAATGGAATAAAAAAAAATACATGGTTTTAAGCATACAATGGTACGACACAGTGAGGGAAAACAACATATATTTGCTGTATATATGAACAAGAACTGTGTTTTCTGTGTGATTGAACACACAACAATGTTTATTCATAGGGAAACATGGGGAGTGTATTTGGAAAGAAGCAAAGACAAGTGTTTTATAGAGGATAACCATAAGCAAGGTGATAGAAAGGCCCAAGTGGGTGGAGACAATTGATTAAAAATAATCAATCAGGGTTAATAATGCTGTTTTTCTTGTGTGATACAAAGAAGCGCATGCAGCAGATTGTAATGCAGTGCTTCATGGCAGTGAAGAACAAGCTGAATAGAAAGCTTGGCTACTTTGACCTCATTGGCTGTGACTTCCTGATCGATGAAGACTTTAAGGTAAGGGATCCCAGCACCTGCTGATTCAATGCTCTTTAATTAAAGATTAGGAACAGGATCATCAGGAGGACTGAATAATCTTTTTAGTCAGGATTAGCTGTGATGTAATTTGCAGTTACATATTTAAAACCACTAACTGATGTATGAAAAAGATATAATCATCTTAATGTCTGGACACCACTTTGGTTCTTCTCTGTAATCAAATCAAATCAAATAGTTGTCAAAATTGTCAATTCCATATATTTTCATAACATACAAGGGGATCGAAATGCTGTTCCTCTCTCGTCTTTGCCATACAGTATAAAAAACAAAAAAGTATAAAGTACAAACATATAAGACATAAGATAAATACGATAAAACTAAAATAAGTAAACCTCTTACAGTATACAGCGCAATATACAATATACAGATCGTAGTGCAAAAAACAGCATAAGAAACAGTAACTGATTTAAAGTGAGGAAGTACATTCTGGAGCAGCTTTTGAGTGCAAAAAAGACAGTTGGCAGGTAGTTCCTTGGTAGGTAGTGACTGGTTATTGTCCAGGGGCAGGGGGCAAGGGGGGATGGTAGTGGACAGAGTTCAGCATCCTGACGGCTTGGTGGATGAAGCTGTTGGACAGTCTTGCAGGGTGGGCCTGGAGTCTCCGGTACCTTTTCCCTGAGGGGAGGAGGCTGAAGAGGGAGTGTAAGGGGTGAGAAGATATATCAGCAATGCTGGTGGCTCTACGGTTGAGGCGGGTGTGGAATATGTCCTTGAGGGAGGGCAGTGGGGCACCGATGATCTTACTCACTGCATCCACTACGTTTTGCAAGGATTTCCTACAGGAGGCAGTGCAGCCTCCATACCACAGAGAGGCAGCTGGTGAGGATGCTCTCGATTGAGCCCCGGTAGAATGAGCACATGATGAGGGGTGGGACTCCTGCTCTCCTCATTTTGCGTACGAAGTAGAGGCGGGTTTGAGCTTTCTTGGTGTTGTCTGACCAGGAGAGGTCCCCAGAAATGTAATGTTATTGTCTTATGGATTGTTAAATTTTCAAAGCTAATGTTTTTAACAATAATCGATCCTTTATTGTCCCCATAGGGAAAATCTTCTTTTATGCCTCCCTCAACTTGCTCTTTGTAGAGCAAGCTGTCAACAAAGGGCAGCTACCTGTTGGGGCGCCCAGGGAGCTGGGGGTTAAGGGCCTTGCTTGAGGGAGGCATAGAGACAATTTCCCCATGGGGATCAACAAAGTATGTATTATTAAAAAAGTAACACCTTAACAGCAGTTCTTCCCAATTCTTCTTCTTTATAATGAGCTTTATATTGACCTAGGGATTGCATACAACTGACCAATCAAACCATTGTAGTTGTGTTGGTGGGCAAACTCTCCTGGAGCCGACACCTTATCGTGATGGAGGGGTTTGCGTGCTCCAATGATCCCAGGAGCTAAGTTGCCCGGGGCTTTATGCCCCTGGTAGGGTCACCCAAGGCAAACAAGTCCTGGGTGAGGAACCAGACAAAGTGTGGCTCATTAGACCCCTTATGATGAGTTTTAACATAGATCCATGTTTTCCCTCGCCTGGAAGCAGGTCACCGGGCCCCCCCCCGGAGCCAGGCCTGGGGGTGGGGCTTGAAGGCGAGCGCTTGGTGGCCAGGCCTGCACCCATGGGGTCTGGTCGGGCACAGCCCCAAGAAGGCATGTGGGTCCCCCCTCCAATGGGCTCACCACCTGTAGGAGGGGCCATAGGGGTCGGGTGCAGTGTGAGTTGGGCAGTGGCCGAAGGCAGGGACCTTGGTGGTCTGATCCTCGGCTGCAGAAGTTAGCTCTAGGGACATGGAATGCCCCCCCCCGATCTGAACCCGAATGATGTTTTGTTGTTATTGGACTTCTGTGCTCGTCACGGATTGTCCATAATGAACACCATGTTCAAGCATAAGGGTGTCCATATGTGCACTTGGCACCAGGACACCCTAGGCCGCAGTTCGATGATTGACTTTGTAGTCGTGTCATTGGACTTGTGGCCACATGTATTGGACACTCGAGTGAGGAGAGGGGCGGAGCTGTCAACCGATCACCACCTGGTGGTGGGTTGGCTCCGCTGGTGGGGGAGGAAGCCGGTCAGACCTGGCAGACCCAAGGATATAGTGCAGGTCTGCTGGGAACGTCTGGCAGAATCCCCTGTCAGAAGGAACTTCAACTCCTACCTCCGGCAGAACTTCGCCCATGACCCGGGGAAGGCGGAGGACATTGAGTCCGAATGGGCCATGTTCTGCGCCTCCATTGTGGAGGCGGCAGACCGGAGCTGTGGTCATAAGGTGGTCAGTGCCTGTCGCTGCAGCAGTCCCCGAACCTGCTGGTGGACACGAGGTGAGGGATGCCTTCAAGCTGAAGGAGTCCTATAGGGCCATTTTGGCCTGTGGGACTCCCTTAGGGAGTCCTGTGGGGGGTGCTCCGGGAGTATTTGGTGCCGGGCTTCCTTATATGGGCTATTCGGTCCCTGTACGACCAGTGCCAGAGCTTGGTCCGCATGGTCAGCAATAAGTCAGACTTGTTTCCGGTGAGGGTTGGACTCTGCCAGGACTGCCCTTTGACACCGATTCTGTTCATAACTTTTACGGACAGAATTTCTAGGCGCAGCCAGGGTGTTGAGGGTGTCCGGTTTGGTGACTTCAGGATTAGGTCTCTGCTTTTTGCAGATGATGTGGTTCTGTTGGCCTCATCAGACCGTGACCTTCGGCTCTCACTGGAGCAGTTCGCAGCCGAGTGTGATTCGGCTGGAATGAAAATCAGCACCTCCAAATCCGAGACCATGGTCCTCAGCCGGAAAAGGGTGGATTGTTCTCTCTGGGTCAGGGAGGAGGTCCTTCCCCAAGTGGAGGAGTTTAAATATCTCAGGGTCTTGTTCACGAGTGAGGGAAGGATGGAGCGGGAGATCGACAGGTGGATCGGTGCGGCGTCAGCAGTGATGCGGGCGCTGCATCGGTCTGTCATGGTGAAGAAGGAGCTGAGCCAAAAGGCAAAGCTCTCGATTTACCAGTCGATCTACGTTCCTACCCTCACCTATGGTCACAAGCTGTGGGTAGTGACTGAAAGAACGAGATCGCGAGTGCAAGAGAGGGAAAAAAAACATGCTTATGCAGTTTAACCTTAATACAATAATATTATAGGTGAATCATGGACGACATATCTGAATCTCAGGATGATCAGTCCATACATGTTCAGAATCAATCAATACTTCAATCACCTCATACAGTAAGTATGACAGTAACAGTAGGACAATGATTAATTCTAGGCAACGTAGTCGTCCGTAAGTGCGTCCTAATACACCATGTTACTGTGTTGTACATATACAGGGAAGAATAACATTGCACTTACTGTATGCCGTACTTCTGTGTGTAATACCAAATGGTGCTACTTCAATTGAATTCTGTGCTGTGTTCCATTTCCCTTGGAGGTTGGAACTCGGGAACTGGGAATGACGTCAGAAAGCCATTTACAGTAGCAGTACCAGGGCCCCATTTCAAAAAGTAAGATTTCTTGCATACCTGGATAACTTGTCAGATTTAATTTACCCCAGTTTAAATGGCCTTTATCTTTATTCATTTACATTTAGCCCAGACTACCTTAAATCCGACAAGCTTTCTGCATATGCAAGAAATCCTGCTTAATGAAACTGGCTCCGGTTCTAGGCTGGCTATTTGTTAGCTACTGTTAGCAACATCAGAGGATAACAACACATTATCCGGTATTTTGCGTAGCAACACATCCGCTGATAGGTTGCACAGTACTGTGTGTACGACCGACCGATTTAATGAGCCACAAATAAGACATATGTGCTAATAAACAGTATAAAACAACAATTTTCACTTCTGTTGATATAGGGGCAGCCATCTTGGATTCTGAGCTCAGGGTTGTGTCGATTCCTCCAGGTTCATGAGTTGGAATTCTGACTTCAGGGGGCATTCCGGTTGAAATGTCCAACTAGGAACTCGGAATTTAGGAGTTACAAGTTGAAATGGAATGCCGCCTGAAGTCAGAATTCCGACATTAGTTCTTTGGTAGACAGTGTGTTAGGTTTAGGGATACTGTGGTATTCATGAGGAGCACTGTGCAGAGAGTGGTGTGTGTGTCGCCCCTTCATCCTCGGGCTGGCTCTAGGTGTGGCTCCTGGAGATGAACTGCAACCCCGCACTGCACAGCAGCTGCAGGGTGCTGAAGGAGACAGTGCCTGCTGCTGTTTTTGAGACCCTGGGTGAGTCCAATGAAAACCGCATGCAGACAGAGGCTTTACTTTTACCTCTTTTATTATTTAATGACCAACAATTGAATGTATTTTTTCTAAATATTTACAGATGTAATAATTTTGTAAATGCAGAGATATAAAGTAACGTTTGTTTACATACATATTGGGTGGACCAGCAGCTCAGTTGGAGGAACGATCAGTACAAATCTGTGGGGATTGGGGTATGAATCCTACCCCTGCTGTGTGTGTGTGTGTGTATGTGTGTTTCACAACATGTTTTGCCAGTTTCCTCAAGAACTCCAGTTTCCTGCACTTGGGTAACATTTTCCAACAGAAAATCTACTAACATGTCATCTCAGCTCTTCTGCAGCAGTTCTTAGAATGACTGTGGGCAGCTTTGCTTTGAAACCTCTGTCCAGTTCATCTGATACATGTTCTTTGGGATTAATCTCTGCAAACTGGGCAGACCAAGCCATTAGTTTGACTTGTCCTTCGCTTTCCTTATTTGCCAGATAGTACTTGCAGAATTTTGAGGTATGTTTTGTGTTTTCATCTTGCTGAAGAATGAAGCATAGATTTGGTCAAGGTCACCAGCTATCTCTGCAGCAAAGAAACTCCAGTCAATAACACAATCTGTCATGTATTCATGCTTTCTGCGTCTTACAAATAAATGGTAGTTGAACCTAAACATTTCAAGTTTTCATTAGTCCAGAAGATCGACTTCTACTCCTTTGCATACAATTTAAAGCATGGATAATCATGGTTTCAGGGATACTCAAACTTGTAACTTTTTAACTTCTGCAGTATTTGATGCTCTGACAAAAACCAAAAACCGAACAATTTGTTCCAAGTAAATAGTGCTATAATATTTTCATTTTCTTAAATTAATTTTTTTAGATATTTGTTCTGCAGTAATGCCATGCTGTCCACTGTGCTGTTCTGCAGTAATGCCATGCTGTCCACTGTGCTGTTCAGCAGTAATGCCATGCTGTCCACTGTGCTGTTCTGCAGTAGCTTCATGCTGT